CCAAGCCACCTTTTCAAGAGGAAAATCATACAATGTTATAAATGACTAACAATTGTACTATCAAATCATGAAGTAGTACAAAAAAAGGGGGAACTATCGAGGAAGTTTACCTACAACCATAAGCTTGGAGTCTTAGGGGATGGTGGGGTCCCCATTCCTTGTCGGGTTCTGCGACCAGCGCAATCCATGGCAGATGCTTCCAAGCCCAAAATTGGACGATGAACATCGTCCCATCAATCTCCTTCACTGCTCTCGGGTGTGCATTATAGAGGGAGCAGTAGATATGAGCTAGGCAAGTAGATGCCCAGTTAAGGTTCCCCATATCCTCCCAAGGACCAAGGAGGATCTTCAACCATCTATTGTTGATTAAGTTGTTGGATTTTTTGGGGAAGAACACTCCTCTGATCATGCCGATGAGGTAGACACACGCATAAATTTCCTTATCCGCCTCATCACTTTCCTCGGTGAGGGGAAAGCTATCTTCATAAGGGTTATGCTTCCTCTTGATCTTCACTGTCAACCAAGTGATGAATACTTGGCGGCTCCTCAATGCTGCATTATTATCGTCCTCATCTCCTCCTTGTCCCTTTTCTGGCACCCTCAATTCCAAGGTGGTCCATAGAAAATACTGCCAACCGCTCATCTCGTCAACATCTGAAGGTGGTGGATGATCGTCCACACACACAATATCGTCATCGATGGGAAAATCGGTTAGGATGGCGATGTCCTTCAGTGTGATGGTGCACTCGCATTTACGAAAGTTGAAGCAATGTGTCTCCTTTCGCCATCTCTCCACCAATGTTGTGATGAGTTGGTGGTCTATCTTTTTTCCTACAAAGTGCCTAATCGAAGCCAACCTTGCCCTTCTTAGAAAGGGCAAGATGGCGCTGTTCCATGGGAGCACATTGCTCGTACCCCTATAGTGGACTACATGGTGTGCATCCTAGCAAAAAAGTTAACTTTCACCCACTATAGGAAAATACACCTTCAGTCACGGGATTTTCCGTGACGAAACAGCCAATTCCCGTGATGGAAGACATTTGTCACAGGAAATACCCGTGATAAGTGTGCCCGTGATTGAAGGTCCATTATCACGGGAAATCCCGTGACTAGAAAGATCCAATAACGGGAAAACCCCATGACAAATTATCTATTTGGTCACAGTATTTCCCGTGACTACTCTTTGAACACGGGAAATTTACCGTTACAAATTTATAAAATAGTCACAGGATTTACCGTGACTAATAGGGTTACTTGTCACGGGATGTTGTCCAATAGTCCCGAAAATGTAATGACAATGACCAAGCTAGAGCAACGTATTTTGTCTAAATGGTATCGGGGAACCCGTAATCGTTAGTCATTACTAATCACGGGTATCCATAAGTTTATGATTTATTAATATATAAATCTATTATAACAAACAATATAAATTAACAAAATAAGGTTTTTTATAAGATTATATATGTAATTTTGTAAAACAAATATATTCAGTTAACTAAAATAATTAAATAAAATGAGTAGCATTTTCAAAAATTAAATAAAATTAATTTTTTACACATACACATAAATCCATTATATTATTTTGTAAAGGGTGTTGGTTGTTTTCAATAATTTAATTACACTCGTTAGACTCTTAGGAGAGGTATACATCTCCTTAGAAACACAGCTTTTTTGACAGAAAAAGGGGGGATCCGAGGATCGCTTAAAACTCGATTTTCCCAGGAAATGGGAGGATCTTCTTTAGACATGCATCTCTTTATAAAGAGTATAATTAAGTGGCACATTGTATTATCCTAAATAATTGAAAATAATCAATATGATTAAAAATTAATAAATTTATTTTACAACCACTTACGTTAACAAAATATAAATGACAAATGATGATACATTATGTACATTGTGATCGTTCCAAACATCCCTTGAACGATGGTTAAGCTGGTCGTATAGCACAGATGGATCAATAGGTCGTTGATCAACATAATATCCTTGATTGTATATATCCATGTCCTCCCCCACCTATATCTGTGCAAACTTCCAATAACTCGTGCTATTTGATTAAACAAATTATTCATTTTTCGTTGAGTATGGTCTATCTGGACCAGACTGAGCTAGACCGCACAGGCGTGGTCTGGACCGGATCATATATTTTGTGGTATGGTCTGTGGTCTATACTTTACCCTCTCGGTCTGGACCATAGACCGTATATATGGTCTGGTCTGGACCAGACCGTACCGTTTCCCAGTCCTAACACGTGGTTGTTCTTAACTAATTTTTTTCGTTTTAGTAATTTAATATTGTAATTTACGACTTATGCAATGTTAGTATATGTGAAATTGTTAACATATTGGTTGAAGTTATAATGAAAAATTATTAACCACGGATAGACGTTGATATCCAAAATACAATTGGGTATGACTATGATTTTAATATTCTACCTGATTCTTGTATCAGTATAAGTATGAAAAATCCAAACTAATTCGGATAAGATAATATATATACACTATCCGACTCCAACCCGTTGCAAAATATCAGTAGTACAAAATAGTGCAAAATATGATAATTTTTGTTCTCCATCACTTTAGCCACGTGTTGTAGGGCTTGAGAGCCATGCCCGTTACCAAAGAAAACTAAGAGTAGTGCAAAATAGCATATTTCTTATGCATCAATAATCCATATTTAACTTTCATAAGTGCAATGTCATTTCTAAATTAGAACCCACATGTCATGTTAACCTTTCTCTAATGCAACAGTACCAAACTTTATCTTTAATTAGTATTAAGATTATTAGGCTAAAATTAATTTTTTGTTAGCAGTTTTGTTAGTAATATTGATTTGACAATATGATATTGACTAAGAATACATATATGGCGGTCAACATCCAATTTAAAGATTTTTTAAAATTTTGGCTAGTAAATGATATTTACCAAAACCCAAGGAGACCCATTGATTATTATGGGTAGGGTATGTGTGACGTATATATGAGTTTGAAAGTTTGTAGATGGGTTTGGGTAGTGTATGAATATTTACTTGCATAATCTAATTTTGTATAAGTTGGGTATGGATACCCATTTATTCGAGGGTGTTTTAATTACACATACAAAAATTAGATCTCAGAACATCAAAAGTTTAGGTACCAAAATGTAATACACAAAAATTTTAGGTACTAAAATGTATTGTTTCATCAATATTTTGAGGGCTTATATGTCACAAAAATAAAATTAGGTTATAAATCTAAAGATATATTAAGTTTAGATACAAAACTATAATTTGATGGTTGAGGCTTAATTCCTTTGATGGTGATGTATTTAAGATGATAATTATTTACTTTTTTGGTATAAAAATGGAAAATATTTAGCTAAAATGAAAGTCATGAGACTAAGGATATTGGGAATTAAGATACCCATCCTCCATCTCTTTTTTGTTTCGCACTTTCTATGCTAAAATATCATATTCCTAGCAATTTAAACCCGAATCTCATATTTTTCAATTTTCTCATTGTATGTATACAAAGAGATTGACCTCGAAAACCCATGCCATAGATTGAATAATAATGATCAACTGTGTATTTTTGAACTGACAAGCTAACTAGTTTGTCCTTGTAAGTAGTGAAACCCTAGTAAATCATGCATGCTGCTTCAGTTGAAATGTGGAATCCAATAATCAGAAAGAAGAAAAAAAAAAAAAAAAAAACAAACAAACAAACAACAGTTACCCATATATATATGGTCTCCTCTAGAATGAGCTAGCTATACCACTTGAGAATCATACATACATACTACAAAGAGTATATTTCTTTTCTCCCCGAAAGGATCATGCAGACAGGCAACCACCGATGCATATAACTATATTATCTTCCCATTCAACATGTCTCAAAGCCATATGAGAATAAAATACAGAAATAGAGAGAGAGAGAGAGAGAGAGAGAGAGAGAGAGAGAGAGAGAGAGAGGAAATTGAAAAGAAAAAACATTGCTTCCACTCCAAGCAGTGGTGTGGTGTGTCGCATGCTGCTGTATTGTTCTGAATTTCTTATTATATATTCTTTGCAGCAAGTTGCTTGCTTAATTCCTCACCCAAAAGAGAGGGAGAATGAGAGGAAGGAAGTGTTCCTCATGGATATTATAAATTCTGTTGTTTACAGTTGATTAAGTCGAATTCTAGCTTTTAATTTAGTGAATTAAGTCAGCCATCCAAAAACGACTTAATTATTAATATATAAAAACAATTATGCTTTACAATTTTAAAAGGAAAAATGGTGATAGCATGATTGGACATATGTGGGACTGATCTAGGGGAATTATTAGACTCGTTCAAAGCATTCTACATGATTGTGCTACATGATATATTCTAGGGTAGCCTTGCTAGCCTACCATCTTATAGTTGTACTATAGCAGACTTCGACCTACCCTATCGTCTAGTTTACAAACTTACACAAACTTTACCCTCTCATCTCCACAACATTCGTTGCTCAATTTGACTGCCGAGACTAGTGATGGCAATTTCAACCCGTCCTGTCAGATAATACCCGATCTCACCTGTGGTGAAGTGGATAATATCCGGCCCGCATTAGCATGATACTACTTTCGTCCTGTCTTGTTCCTCTGTTCCGTTATTGACCCGTTTTACTTTGATCTGCCGCAGTATTTAATTCTATTTATCATACTTTTACTATTGTAAAACATATTTTCACCCAATAATACTTCAGATAAGCCCAAGACTTCAAATTTCAACGAACTAATTTACTCAATTCATCTACCTATTATATCCTAATATTTCTAGTCATTGGTCACTGCATCAGGCGCTATATGACACAAGAAAGGTGATCCAACAGATTGTACACAGATCAACTCCACAACAGCATATATAGTAACATATCGTAATCATATTCATGGCAGAAAACAGTAACCCAACTAGTATGAGCATGAACCATTCTCATAAAAACCAATGGATCAAATCGCCATATTGCCAAGCACACAAAATATCAATCCGGAGTTCCCCGCGCGTATCGTTCCAATTTTATCGAATGTCCCCATTTCTCAAAAAGGTTTAGACCACATACACAAACACAATGCAAAGCCAATTTTCCACACCTTTCTTTTCCTTTTTCCTCAGAACAAAACAAAGCACCACCCACGGCCAACTCTTTCTGGCCAACTCTATCGGCGACTGGAGGAGAGGAGACGAGGGATTAATTATTAGGCGGAGAGTACTCACAAACGACTTCTGAAGACTCCACTTCCCGCCTGTGGAAGTTCCTGTGACAGCCGCACGCCGCGCACATCAGCGCCGCCGCCGCCGCTCCGCCGTCGTCGTCGTCGTGACCGCTGGCCATGAACTCCCGGCAGCCGTCGACCGCGTACCCACCGATGTTGGCGGCGTGGTTCTTCTGGCACTCCCCGTAACGGATCGAGGAAGTCGTCGAAATCCTCCCCACCTCCGATCGCTTCACCACCACTTGCCGTTTCTTCATCATGATCTCTTTCGGTCGGTGGAAAGGGTGGGGGGGGGGGGGGGGGAATCCTGAAAGCAACTCAATAATCAAGGCTTTAAGAAAATGAAAAGAGATCGAGAAGCAAAGAAAGAAAGAAAAGAGAGGTAGAACTTGTCTTTCTCCTATTAATGAATGGATATTATAAGGGTGCAGTCCCAATCAGGGAGCTGAGTCAAAGTCGATCCACAGCCTGGTGTGAGTACGAGTGAAAGAGTAGTCAGGGAAAGTCTTTCTTTATTTCTTTTTTTTTTTTTTTTTTTTTGGATGGAAGAAAAGGGGAGAGGAAAAAAGAAAACAAGGTTAGTTTAGAAGGGGAGAAAAAAGAACAGTACTTTGGTGAAGCGTTGTGGCTTCTGCAATGGTTAGATAGTTGGTAGTAACTAGTAAGTAAATTATATTGGGCAACCCTAACCCTAGGAGTAGTGTATTTATATTGCCAGCTCAACTAACAGCAGTATTATACAGTTTTTTTTATTCATTTAATTTTATGTCACTAGGGTCAAACCAATTATGGTGCCCCTATGTCTATGTGTGTCAGACCTAGATTTGTTTTGCAATTTTTCCATTACATGGGAATCAGAGTTAGACTATTCATATTATAATCGTTTTCCTTTCTCTTGTTTATTTACCCTTAATTTTTTCTTTGAAGATGAAAATACATCGTTTTTCTTTTCTTGATAGGAGGCATAGGACGCATGGTTGCCTAAGATTTGCTGGTCGTTTGGATGCAGTAAATTAATGAGGTAATGCAGCAATTGGACTAAATTCTCCTATTTGGATGGCCAAATGAGTATGGTAACTGACCCATGTAATTTGAGCCACTTTCTCACAAACATTGCAATTAAACCAGCACCCCCTCATGCATTTCTCATTCCCACATTTGAGTTACTTTTTCTCCAATTGTATCCCTGCTATTTTATTGGAAACCCCCAACTGCTCTCTTGTTGCGTAAGGTGTTAAACTCCAAAATACTCTAAAAAGTGAATGGATAAGAAAAGGGTTCACTTCCCCGTCTCTCTCCCTCCCATCTCACAAAGATCCCCTCCTTACAGGCTTCAAATAGTTCTCCATCCTCTACTCTTCTCTATAGTCACTCGATATCGGCGACACTCTTAAGCTTCCTGCATTTTCATTCTACAAAGACAGCAACAGTAAAGAGGTTAAGTAGGTCGGTTTTTTCATCAAGGAGACTAGCTCGATGGCGGCCACAAATAGTATGTAGGAAAGAAAAATTGTGTCGCTATGAGATATTAGTTGCAGTGTGGACATCGTGCCCCTCAACAAACTCCAACCGAAAGTTCTACTCCTGCTCGTTTTACCCATGTACGAATCCTAAATGTTATCTTATCAACGAGTGTTTGGCAATCCCCTGTTGTTAACTTACCAGTTATTAAGGGGTACCTTGAGAAAACGAACAGCCAGAACCCCAGTGGGAACCCTATGCTTTGTGAAATCATCTCATTTTCTTCCTATAGAATCCCAACATATAATAGGTTACATAAGTTGCACTCAAACCCTAAACCAATTTAAAATTGATCCAAAAGTTGTTTGATACTTGCCACGACCCTGATTGATCCATTTGAAAAGATCGTTGGCCAAAGACAAGTGAGTAATTTCTAATGATTTGCATCAAGGATGATAATGGTATGTTCTATTTCAAGTTCTCTTTTCATCAGGCAAGAAAAAACTCCGTAGGGGTGAGTGGATCTCCTTGGCTGAGTTACTTTACAGTAGAGATATAACCACATAGGCCACAACCAATCAAAGCCACACTAGCATTGGTTTGGTCACACATGCTTCAATTAATCTAACAAACTCAGTAGGAAATACCATTGTAGTCAAAACATTGAATAAAACAGCTTCCAGTTAACTGAATAGAATGCCTTCATAAGATCAACCTTCAACACACACGTAGAAGAAATATTCTTTTTGTGATAATCCTTAACCAACTTTGTTACCATTAAAATTATATCACTAATAAGCCTTCGCTTAACAAATGCAGATTAAGCTTCACTGGTTACTGTTGGGAGCAATCATTCTATTGGATAAAAGCTTTGAGATACCATTATCAAGCATATTACAACACGAAATCGATATGGATAAAATCAATATTATCACTTGTACGATTACACTACAGGAAAAGACCATTTAATCACGGTGAATCCCGTGTTTGAAAGTGTGTTTCCCGTGTTTACTAGTTTTAGACACGGTAAAATTACCGTAATATATACGTCTCTGTCTAATTGTAAAGGTCAAGGGAATTTCGTACCGTGACTGATTATACCAGTCACGGTACAATTTCCTGTGACTAATGTATAAAATTAGAGCACAATACTAGAGAAAATAAGTCAATTAGACATGGGATCTACACCTTTTAACATGGTAATTACTGTGATAAAATCATTTCCCGTGACTAGATGTGAATCACTAATCACGGTATTTACGATGGCAAAATGGGTTTCTGTGACTAGATGTGAATCACTAATCATAGTATTTACGGTGGCAAAATCAGTTCTTGTGACTAGATGTCGATCAATAATCACGGTATTTACAGTGACAAAAGCAATTCCCGTGACCAGATGGCAATCATTAATCATGGTATTTACAACTTGTAGTGCCTGGTTTTCTCGTGATTACATATACACTACTATACACGGTATTTCCTGTACCTAATCACAAATCATTGGTCACTGTATTTTCTCATGACTACTAGCAAACCACTAGTCACGGTCTTTTCATGGATAGATACAAGCCACTAATTATGAAAATTAGTTATATTGAAATTTCCTGTCAATAACAATAAGTGTAAATAGAACATCGTCTTATCATCAATAATCAAAAGAGTTCCAAATAGTATCTTCTAACATCATAATAATCAAAAGAGTTCCAAATAGTAGCTTATATAACTTCCGTGCTTCTTGTGTAGACACCATCTACTTGGAAGCTGCAAAAGGCTGATTTGAGACATAGTTCCAATTTGAGAGGCTAATCCAACAAACTCCATCTCCGTGGAAACTTCATCCCAACACCATTAACATCATGAGTTCATAATTTGAAAAACAAAAGGGTCTTATGATTCATTGCCTAGAACAAGTACACTACTCTTCTAACATCATAGTATATATAGTATCTTCTTACATCATACAAATCATTATATTTAGTTTCCTGTAATCCAAATCCATCTTGCCCATGTAACAAAACAAAATGAAAAATTTCATTCACTATCACAACTAATAGAAATTATTCCTGTTGTTAAGAGCTTTGGCAAAAGATACTAACCCGAAGTTGATAGCAAAACAAGACAATCTTTCATAATGACAACTAGACAGAACACTCTTCTGTAGCAAAATAAAAATAGGACAAAAGATTTAATGTTAGAATAATATTCATACCTGACAACAAAATCAGCAATAGGAGAGATTAAAAAAATCAAGAGGAAACAATACCAATCCATTTCATATCATTCGCCAGTGTTATGTTCATTTTGCAACACATCCATGGCTTGAGGTGGCACCTTTACAGCCAAGTGCAAGTTCTTATTAACATTGTCTTATGCATAAAATACTTGGGACATTTGACTTGCAAGAACAAATGGCTCATTTTTCTTCAACATTCTATTCAAGTTAACACTCACAAAACCATGTTCATCCACTTTCAACCCTTTTGTCTTATCATAAACATCGCACCAATCACACCTAAACAAAGCTAATGATCTTCCTCCAATAAATTTCAGCTCAATGACCTCTCTTAAAACCCCATAGTAGTCTTAATACGCCCCTGGGGGGGTGTATGTTATCAAAGTCACGCAGCTAACGACTCAATCGAAGAATCGATTGAGCTCGAATCAAGAACGAAGCGTTCTTAATACGAACTTGGATAAAACGGAACCAAAAGGACAAATCCACACCTGGGGATGGCTCGATTGGTATAAAAGGGTAGTTGCTCGACCACGATTGAAGTGACTATTCAATCGATACACAAGCTCAGCAAGTTTGGAATCCACCAAACCCAAAACAAGTCGCAACTTGCACAAAACCAAAGGGTTTCTTTTCTATTCAACAAAGTCTGAATTTTACAACGAAATAGAACGCTATTTAAAGGCAAATAAAACCTAATACAATCATAGTATAACTAGGAAACAATTAAGGTAAAATTCTACACTAAAAAGGACACAAAATTCGGGTTTAAACTTCCTTTCTTGAAGCACAAGTAAGCTGCCAGCAAACAGTCAAAAAGCAGCTTTCGTACTAACTTCACACCTTTCGTACAAGGCCTTCTAGAACTCCGATCTTTCATCCGATTCCTTCCCTTGGTAGATAAACATTCCTAGTTTCATGTTGTAGAAGCCTTTGGTCTCGAATCAGATCCATGCTCCTTGAATTGAGCTCCAAAGTAGGCTTCACAAAATAGTTTTCTGCCTTAGCCATTTTCTGGCAGTTTTCCAGTTTTGAGGTAGCAACTTTGAGGTCTTGGAAAACAATCTTAATGACATCATCTGGCTTCACAAAGCATATCATTGGAAACATGGAAACTTTATCTACAATAAAAACCCTTGAACTGGAACTTCCACCAAGCCAATTGAGAGAACCGTGCCTCCAAAGTATGTACCCTGAACACGGATTTTGACTTAGCCAAATTCTGCCTTTCTTCTTTCCAACCTTGATAGCTTCTTTAGAAAGTAATTGTGACTTGTAGAAGTGGCCAATTTGGATCATATCAGTAGTCTATAGCATTCACATCGACTCCGTCATCACCAACTACAACGACTCCGTTATTTTGAGTCCTTAAACTTTTGTCATAATCCTTTGTGTGAAAACGAAAACCATTTAGGACATAACCTGTATAACACTTGACACTTTGAGAAGGGCCTCGTGATAGTGACAATAGGTTATCCAACCTCTTACTCTTGTTATGTTCATAGGAATTTGCAAACTACAATGAAAAGTTTTGATATGTTTTCAGAACATAAAGGTAGATAATACCAAGCTCTGCAAATTAAAATTACCAAGCTTTAGATATTAACTAGGAGAAAAAGAGCTTACCTTTTGCCTGAACCAAGAAATAAAGCTTGCATCATTCTCCTTATAGTTTACTCCCAACAAATCATGCTCACAAAGATGACTAAATTCTCTACAATGTGAAATAACATAATTATAAATTAAGCTTGAACAAACAATGAGATAGGTAAAACAATAATGAAAACCTTACTCAAAAAATGGTTGCACTTCTTCTGTATTCTTCATCACATAGATGTGGGCTTGCTCTAATTCCTCTGGACTGAGGCTACGAACATTATCATGACTACCCAAGAATTTTCCGACTTGTGAGAATTCAAGAAAATCTTGCACATCATTTCCAACACAATTCCTGTCAACCCTATTGAACTTTGTTTGGATACCATTCAAGTACCTAGAGCACAATGTCATACATTCTGAAGCTATATAGCCTTCTGCAATGGAAGCCTTTGGATGCATTCTATTTCTTACATATGACTTCAAATCATGCAAGTATCTCTCTATAGGATACATCCACCTAAATTGGACTGGACCACCAACCATAGCCTCGTCAGCCAAATGCATTGGAAGATGCACCATAACATCAAAGAATGCAGGCGGAAAGATCATTTCCAGTTTACACAGAGTCACTTGAATCTTAGCATTGATTCTGTCCAACTCTTGCACCTTAAGTGATTTCGAACACAAGCTCTTGAAGTACTCTGACAATTCAATAAGAGGGTCACATACATCCTTCGGTAAAAGACCACGTATGGCAAGTGGAATAAGATGTTGTAGAAGAACATGACAATCATGGCTTTTTAAACCAGATATATTATGTTCATTTACATTTATGCAATGAGATATGTTTGAGAGAAGCCATTAGGAACCTTCATGTTCTTTAGAAAGTGCCAAAATTTATTTTTACCATCTCGCATCAATGTGTATTTTGCTCGTGGCATCTACAATTTAGCCCGAATCAGAAGCGTGGTATCTTGTATGCGTTACAAGGGTATTTGTTATCAGGTTCTGCTGTAGTTGCATCATCGCAGGTTCATCAATAAGATATGACCACTCTTTGGCACATAGGAATGGGTCATACGAGTGAACGGGGATGCAAGTTTTGTCGAAGATGGATATTCTTTGTGGGCACAAGGTGTAGAATTTGGGATTCTGAGAGCATTGTGTGTGGGAAATTATAGTGTAGCAAATTTCCAATGAAGCAGTAAGCATGGCGTGCTACTTCATCAACCGTGGACCTCACACAGGTATCGACTGTAAGACTCCTTATGAGGTGTGGTATGGTAAGCCTCCTGATCACTCTTCATTGAAAGTTTATAGTTGTCCTGTTTACTATAATGTGGATGAGGGTAAACAGAATCCAAGAGTCAAGAAGGGTGTTTTGTGGGTTTTAGAGATGGTGTTAAGGCATTTCGAGTCTGGTCACCTTTTGAGCATATAGTCATACTTAGTAGGAAGGTGATATTTGATGAGAAATCTATGTTTAACCCCATGTTGAAGGTTACTATTGTTGGAGATAGCAGGAATGTTGATAAACAGGTGGAGCTGCAAACTCTCAAAGAGAGTGAGTTTATTACCAAGGTGGAGAAGATCAACATGAGAATGTTTCTGGTGAGCCAGAAACTTAAGAGTCCAGTGCACAAGCTCAATAAAGTATAACCTCCGGTAGACCGCAGAGAGCGACTATAGGAGTACTGACTCACTTCTACTGTCACCCTAGGAATTGGCCAAGTGAAACCACTTCCTAAAGCGTAGTATAGCGGGTTAGGTTTATATGTCAACCCGGGTCCTAGATCTGATGACTACTCAGTGAATTCTTCTTATCTAGCAATGAAACTGGAATGCAAGTCTAAACTAACAAACAGACAAAGCAAGTAAACTGTTGTATTCAGGTTAAGAGAGGTCACCCGGATATGGTTCCCCCTAGACTGCAGTTAAGCCGGATTGTAATTACCATGTTCAGTTTCTATGATAGTTATACTGCGGAAGGTTCTTAAACAGTCTGAAGTCTCGACTAAAGGTCTTCAGACCCTCTCAATCTGAGTCTCTAGCGGGCGAGTAACCTCCACCGGAGTAAACAGATTGAGGCCTTAACAAACAAAACCTCCACTACCGGAGTAAATCCGGTACAGAATAGTGAGTTGGCTCCTCGACTAAAGTCACCAACTCCCTACCTTCAATCAAGGATGCTCTATCAACCTAGGCAGATATTCTAATTCTAGGTTAAAGCAGAAACAACAGGAATTTGATCAGGATTCAAGTCATTCAATC